ATTTCTTTTCACACCAAACTGATGACGTCCATTGCGAAAATGCGCTGAAATATGTTCACATCAAAAAAATCATCAAGGCGACATTTCGCAAGAGAGAGGAAATTCTTTGGAAATCGCCACAAACGCTGTGTGAAGTCTAAGTAATCAAATACACAGAGGGAAATTTTATTTTTATAATATATTACAAACTTCTTAGGTATTTTTAGAAATTTTGTAATTTTTCTCTGTTTACAAACCTATATTTGATCGATTATTTTTTCCAAAACAATCTTTTTCATCGGTTACTTTGGTCATCATTTTTTTCATGTGTAGATACCCACAATGCAATAGTTAAATTGATTTTTAGCCCGCTGTTTGCTTGAACTTTAGCGCCATAAAACTGGTATTTTTATAGATTTTCCGCATAAATTATGGTTCCAAAAAAAATATACAGTCGTTTTTCCACACAGCTGAAATTCGTTCCTGTCTATTTTCCTTTAATTTTATAATTAGATATCACTAGCCGAAAAATCTGTCTCGACACTTGACTGATTCTCTCGAATATTTCTGGCCTTTCCCAACATTTCGCTTTGCGGATTTGGCAATCTGGCAGCTTGACAAGTGGAGGCCCTCGTACAAAAAAGCGATTCGAAATCAACTCGAAATACCCTGTAAATTGGCTGCCACATGTCTGGCCCCAAAAATTAAACGTACTATATATAAAGCGAAGATCTCTCTCTGCTAATCTGTCAGATCGCTCAGATCTCTCGGTTATATACCCATTTTCCGCTCTCTCATTTTGCTGAAAAGGCGAAAATTTTCTGCGGCCGTTCTTTCAGTTGATGTCGCGTTGATAAGCGGGCAAGAACTTTCGCTATAAGAAAAAATCCAAAAAGAAAAAGATTCTCAAACGCGTAATCGAAAGAAGAAATCCCAAAACAATACAATTCTTATATATATAGTAAAGCACAGATAATGTTAAATCGTGCGAATCAAAACAAATTATTTGGCGCACGTTGATCCGAAAAATGAAATGTTATTATATAGTAACCATGAGCTAGGGGCGTGATGATTGTTGTGGGTTGGTTCGATTTTTTTGATTTTCGAAGGGGCACGTGAGGGCGAAAGATTCGGCTTGTTTCTTCCCTGGATTGATAAGAGATCCTCGGATTGCGGAGTCTGGAAATGTCTTGAATGGTTCGGTGACGACCGGCTTTCAGTTGAGATCTTGAAGTGCGACGTGAAAGTGCTATTATAGAATGACGATCCTCTTTTTTTATATATTATATGTTTATATAAAAAAGTATAAATTCAATTGCGGAGGTATTCATTCATTTAAAACTTTACCCATTGCGTAATGGCTTCATACGAAAATTAAATTAAATTGCAAACTGCCCGAGTGACCCTAATTTATGCGGCGTTTTCGCTTTAAAAAGAGTTAATTGATGGCGGAAAAAATACATATACCCAAGTGCATAAAGACATCTGGCGAATATCTTTTGGATATCGAGAAATAAAAAGTATGGAAGCCTTTCTTTGTTTCTGCGGAGGTTCAGCGAACTGCATTTTGTTGTGGCGAGGCGACAAATAAAAAATATTCACGAAAATTCCTTAACATGTGTGTGAGGCAAAGAGTTGTTCTTGTTTTTTTTTCTTGGCATGGCAACAGCCGTTTAAACTTTTCCTATATTTTATTTTCTTCACATTTTTCTCAAACACTTTCGTCGTTGGCTTCCTCTCCTTTCCTTGTCGAGTTTATTTTCAAATTTGAAATTGTATGCCACAACAAAAATGTTTGCAATTGTCATGTGTTTGCAGTTTTCGCCATTCGCCATTCAGAGGTTGTAAAATATTTCAGTGTTGTTTGTTTTTTATTTCTTTTGCCTGTTGCTTTCTGCTGGACAGGAAGGAATGTGGCCAACAGAAATTCTCTGACTTACATTGAGATATTTTCCTGGGGCTAAGAAGTGTCCCCAGGTATTCAAAGTTAATTTAGAATGATTTAAATCATTTGCTTCGGATTAGAAAAATATAAATGTGAATATATTTTGTTGTGATATAATCAAAAACATTTTCTTATGGATTTTTCTTGAGAATTTTAAATAAGAAAATATCATAAATGTAATTAGTCATCTGGCATTTTTGTTTATTATTATTGAACAATTAAAATGTATTTTCTTGTCAGTTATTTTATTTCTTTTTATTGAGACATTTTTTCTGCTGGCATTTAAAAGTACAAGAAATTTACTCCTACATTCCGTAAATCCATTTAGAATGCAAAGTATTTTAACTAGCTAACTATAAATATTGTTTAAAAACACGAAAACTAAATTATTAGTATTTTATTTAGTCATCTGGAATTTTTTCTTATTATTTTAAGACCACAAAATATTTTTCTCTGTCAGTTTATATTTTATTTGTTTTATATTAAGACATTTCTGCTGCTGGCACTTAAAAGTACAAGAAATGTCCTCAAACATTCCGGAAATCAGTTTGAATGGCATACCATTTTAGCTTGAGATGAAATTTGAAATATTTGTGCAGTCGTCCGAGATTGTTGTTTATATTTTCTTTAATGAATTTCCAGGAGTTTAGCCCGTTCAGCTATTTTGCAGGACATGCAGGAGGCCCTTCCTTCTGCTTCACCCTCTTTCCTACTCTTTTTTTTTTCTTAGCCACAGAGATTTAAGACTCTCCTTTGTTTTGGTTTCGTTTGGGTTTTCATTATGCATATCTGCATTGTCAGGACTTTTTGAAAGTTGACCTAACTACCAGTGGTGCACACACAAAAAGCCGACTTACTATATCATCAGACTTTCAGACTTACCCACATATTGCAGCTTTCTTCTCGGGGTTCTCCCCACTCTTATCTCTGGATTTTGGCACATTTTGACAACAACTTCCGTTTTTTGTCTTGACATTTCTTCTCTTTTTCCCTGTTTTTGTCTTCTCTAATTTGCTGTTGCTTTGTTGTGGTTACTCAAACAATTATTTTTGCATTTTGCAAGGCAAATTTTTCAGTTTTTTTCGTAGTTCTTCAAAGGGAAAAGCAATTGCCTCCCTTTTTTTCTCCCTCTTAATTAACAAACTCAAATCGATTGAAGGCATTTGATATCTAAAATGTAGTTGCATTTTTCTCCTATTCATTTTCATTGCTTTAATTACTGCGCAAGTTATTTATAAACCTTGATTTATTGGAAACTTTTTCCCCATTTCGCTTTCCCCCTTTTTTTCTGATTTTTCTGATTTGCCATTTGTTACTTCTCATTAATTGTCTTTTGTTTGCTTTTGTTTTTATTCTTTTTCCTATTTTTTTTGGCAAAGCATTTATTTTTGGACCCGGTTTTCATTAATTTTCGCATCTCATTATACAACACAGAAAAAAAGTGTGATTTTCAGTTTTCCCCTTCGATTTTTCATCGATTTCAATTGCGTTTGTTTACGCCTGCCTTCTCCGCCTTCCACTCAACTCGCGACCTTCAGAATTTGGCTTGAATTTTCATCAAGTTTATTTACTTGAACCGAAACAGAAGCAGAAATCACACATACGCCGCATTGGCCTTCGCCAGCTGCTCTTTCCCCTCATTCCCCTGAATTTGCATTTAGTATTCATGATGCTCTGCTCTTAATTAAAAGCGCACGCATGTCTAATTGGCATTAAGCATACGCCAGGGTGCACTTGACCAGATCCACAGCCAGCTGGCCAACTTCGGTCCTTGGCTCCTGTGGTCGGTCAACTGGCAGCAACCGAAATCCTGGCTTTGTTATCATGTCTGTGGCAGGCTTCTCTTTACTTCGAAATAATGTGCTGTTTACTGGGGAAAATCTGCTGAAATCCATAAAAGAATTTGAATATTTATCGCTAATTATCCATTCAGTCATCTGAATAACAGGATAATATTTTCTATTAATTCATTCTCAGAAGTTCCTTGTTAAAATTATTGTTTAGTGGGGAAAATCTGCTAAAATCCAAAGGAGAATTTGAATATTTATCGCTAATTTTCCGTTCAGTCATCTGGATAGCATTGTATTCTTTTCTATTACCTAAATTATTCTCTGAAATTCCTAAGAAATTATATGGTTTTTACTGTAGAAATTTCGTGGGAATTAGCAGAAAATCTTATCTCTTATCTTGTAATTCGTGGGAATTAGCAGAAAATCTTATCTCTTATCTTGTAATCTGAATATTTTATTGTATTAAATTATTTTACCAAATTTCAAATTATTCCTTTTTAAAATTTTAAAAAATAATTTACTCTAAAATTTTTTTTTATCATGGTTACTATATAAAAACTTAGGACAAAGTCTTATGATATTATTTATCTTTAACAAAAATGTATTACCTTATATTTAGTACCCAAATCACAACATGTGTTTTTCAAAACATTAACAAGTGCTAGTGAAGTGAACCAAAAATGTGTCTCAGTTTGCGAAAACTTTGTCAAGCCTGTCGAGGTTGGTATAAGTAGTAAAAAAAAAGATAAATTAGTCTGCATTAAAAACCTAAAATAAACTAAAAAATATGTAAAATAACTTAAATATTTCATTTATGCACGCGGAAGATAATTGGCAAACTTACAAAACTTCTAAGACATTCCAATGCCAATTTGGAAAATGCCTACACGTTTTACCCCCGAAAAAAAATAGAATGTCGCCTGTCTGCTCCATCTCATCCCCACCAAAAGTCTAAAGATCCCCAAAGGTCCAATTTAAAGATGTGTGTTTATATGTATTTGGAGGCGGGCTATATTTATGCCTTCCGTTGACAGCTTTAGCATCGGCACCTACACACGAAAATAGTCTGAAGAGTCCCAAAAGTATATATAGATATAACTTGCGATTAGCTCTCTGATCCATTAAGGCATTCGCGTCGTGTTCCCCCGGCAAATTTGTGTATAAATAAATAAATTAGGAAAATGGAAATAATGGCGCGGACGATTAATTAAAAAATTCATTGAAAGTGTCACAATATTTTGTTGTGACTCAGAAAGGAAAATATTATTAGGTATCTTTGCCTTTGACATCTTTGGAAAATTGATCGTAAAAACAAAATTAAATACACAAAAGGTAAATGCAAAATGCCAGATACAAAAGTGGTGGGAAATGATCGAGATCGAAGGAAGAATAATAGTCATGCTAGTTTGCTGTTGACCACTTCATCCACTCATGTTCAGCATGTGGAAAGTCGCACTAGTTTGCATCAAAGTGGAACCACTAGCAGGGATCTAAATACTTCTAGAAACAAAGAGGAGAATGACCAGAATAGCTCCTTGCTTTCCAATGATTTTGTACTCATGCTGGATTGTTCACCCAGCCCCGAGGAGGTTTTCTGCGAAGGATCGTCGGAATTCAGGATATCATGGTTGTGGCTAAATAAACTGACCACCATGCATTGCAATACCATTTATGATCTGCGCATGCGCAACGCTTACATGAGTCATTTTATCGTTTGCTTGAACCAAAGGCGTTTGACAGGAATTTTCGAAGAGCCACCGCCGGAGGTTTTAATTTGGGTAAACTTTTCTGAGAATCAAGTGGCTCAACAATCGGTGAACCTCTCCCTTTTGACTACGGCCACCCTAATGCAACGTTCCTGTGATTTAACCCAATCCTCTCAAGCTCCACCGGTTTCCACTTCCTCATGTGGTTGTAGTGGTCAGCGGACCTCCGAGTACTGGGACTCCTACTCGAATAGTCGTCGTACTTCGGGAGGAACCACCGAATCCCCAACCAAATCACCAGTGTGTAAGAAACGACAACTCCTTCGTTCCATTCCCACAACCAGCGATGAGGAAATGCACCAGATATTCCTAAACCATAAGGCTAATTTCAGCTTAAATCACTCCTCCACTTGTGCTCAAGTATACAAAAGTCGCTCACTATCTTCACCAGCCAGATTTTTACCCAGAAAGAAAATACCCAATGCCTTTCGGAATTCAGATAATCGAAAGTCACCTGAAGATGCCCGACAACGTATGATCAAGCTGATGGAATTGATCAGAAAAGAACTGCGTGGCGAACCGGATTTGGATAATAAGGATATGTTGGAGGCGGAACTTAAGAGATATCAGGAGTTTTTCGAGCAGCACATGCATGATAACTCCGATTTCGAGTTACATATGAATGGAAGTTCCAATTCGGAGCGGGTTCATCTACTTCTCAATATGCAAACAGATCTTATAAGGATGTTGAAAGAAGATGTGGCTTGAAAACGAAATTTCTGAGTTTAATAAAGTTTACTGAAATTATTTTAGAGGGTGTTATAATACAGGAATAATATATTTGGTATAGGAAATAAAATTTAAAGTTGGTTTTATATATTTTGAGAGATCTAAACCGAAAGATGGCTATTATCACATATAAGGATTTGATATGTCAAAGAAATAAGAGGAAACAAGAAAAAAAATTATTTATTAAAATTATAAAATCAAAATATTATCACAGAAAAGGATTATATAAAAGAAAGTTAGGTTCGTTTCTGTACAATAGTTTATATTTATTCTTTTATTTCACCAGACATAAATATTAATTTATTCCCTATTGATTTTTTTTCCAGGTCGCAAATCTGTGGACGAAACTCCGGCATTGGCCAACAACACCCAGCAGCAGCAGCAACATTCCAACCTTCCTGGCTCCGCCAACGGATCTCCCCAGCGAGTGGCCAACAAGCGCAGCAGCATCACGGTTAACATGCCAGCCGCCGGTCTTGGCCAGCGACCACCGAGCATTATATCCACCACCAGTCAGGATGAAGGTGGCTTCAATGAATCCACTCCTGAACTAAAGGCCAAGCTGAATCCATCCTACGATCATAAAGATCAGTTGGAGGAGCAGCCGCACAGCCTGAACTACGTGGATGTGGGCTATCGCCTGAATCCCGATGGCAGCGAAAGTCGCGAGGTTTATGGATCCGAGGCGGAATTATACGACACAGCCAAAGTGAGCGATATGCAGCGCAAGTTCCATGGAGCCAATGGTTTTGGCCAGGAATCCAGCACGGTGTATGCCATTATCAAGACGGATCTGCCCGAGTCCCAGCCAGTGGCTCCTTCAAGAGGGGTTCTTCTACAGTCGCCCACTTCCTCGAGTGTTGAGGGTTCCCCACTCCATCGAGGGGTTTATAGCTCCCCTCCCGTTGGTGTGGTTTCACCCATAAGGCGAAGGAATAGCAACAATCAGGAGCAAAATGGCGGCAGTGCCAAGTCCACGCCCCCCTGCTCACCCGCCCGTTCGGCCTTGATCAAGGGCATTGCCCCCATAGCCTCCATCGATGCGCATGAAGAGGAGGAACTGGATCTCGCCGAGGAGGAGGAGGACGAGCATCTCGCAGTTGAGTATGTGGAGGTAATAGAACTCCAACGGGAGGAGGATGAGGAGGAGGCTCCTGTCCTTCCGGAAAGACGAGCTCCGGCCCAGGGATCACTGGAGCTGCAGGATTTGGAGTATGCGGATACCAGCGCCGGAGAAGATGAAGAGGATATCATCAACCATTTGAAGGGCGACATACTGGATGTGGAACTAATCGACGACGTGGTCGATGAGGTGATCAAGGTCCATGTGAATCACAGTGTGGCGATTGCTCCTCCGCTGCAAACAGCTGCTCCTGCGGTTCCAGCTGCGGCGATTCCACGGGAGGATAGCCTTCCAGATGACATGACCGCCGCCGAAGCCGAACGATTGTTGAGCTCTAGGTGAGTCCATTGAAACTGTTATATCTGTATGACTTATAATATTTCTTTATTTGTTATTTAAGCATGTGTCTTGTTATGAAATTTGCATTTTATGTATTCTCTTTTTTTATATATTTATTTATGACATATATTTATAGTTAAATTTATTATTAAATTGTTATATAACCTTAACCTTAGGTTAACCTTAGGTGTCATACAACCTAAGCATTTTATTTAGATCGTTTCACTTGCTTATTTAAATATTTATTATCTGACTTATTATTAATTTATATATGTTATTGCTTAATTTTTATAAATCTAACCTTTACATTAGGTTAACCTTAGGTTTATTTTAATTAATTTACTTGCATATTTATATTTTTAGCATCTAATTTTTTATTAATTTCTTTTCTAATGCACTAAATCATAACTTTTTCTACCACATCCTAATCTAAAATCTCAATTATTGCCAGTTCATCAGCATTAAGACCTTGTAACTCTAATCAGTCCTAAACCCACACAAAATACCAACATTTACCTTTATCCTCGTTTTGTTGATATTAAGTAGCCATCTCATTAGCATTTTATGTGTATTACTTGTAGCCAATAATTAATCCTGGAAATCCAGGTATTGCAGTTTTCCTTGGATTTTCCTGGCCATATTCACCTCCTACTGAACTTTATTCACTCGCTCTCACTCACATATTGAGCAAATATTTACTTTTAACCCACATTCTCAGTCTCTGGGTTTTGTGGACTCTTCGTCGTCTTCACTGCCAAGTTACTATTCATCATCGGCTTAGTCACCTTTCAGCGCCAGCTTTGTTGTAATTGTAAGCTAATCTGTCGCTTGTCAACTGCTGATGCACTCAGTTCCGCCCGGAAGTGTTGACTCCGGCAGAGGAGGAAGGATGAGATTGGAGTTCAAGTTGGAGATTGAGATGGAGGTAGAGGTATAGTTATAGGTTGAGATGTAGCATGTGAATACTGCCCTTTGTGCAGCTGAGTAGATGGTCTCAGTCTAAGCTGGTGCCACTTTAAACTGCCAAACTTGCTTAACTACTTCCAACTCTGAGCCATTCAACTGGCCCAGGGACTTTAAGGCTTCTGTTTGTTTAATGAGTGTGAGCTTTTCAGCCAAGGGATTTCACCTGGTTTAGAGTTTCCTGATTATTCCTGACTTTGTAGCTTCAGACAGAGATGGGAACTATTTATCTTTAGATTTTTTCAGATTTTATTATTAGTCTGAACTTTATTCTCTCTTTTTTAGAATTGAATGTTCAGATTTATAATTTTCATACCTGTTCAACTATTGTTTTTCACAAGGGATAAACATAAATTGGTGTCTAACGTATGCATCAATATATTTTTAACTCATAATTGCGTTGAATTTATTCAGGAAGACGACTATTATTTAATCACTGCATACTTTTAGGCAATACATTTAAATATTTCCATTAAGTTACTGAAAAATCTAAATTTATTACTAAATTCTAAGCTTAGAAAGTCGTAGATGTTTCACCCATTTCTCCACTTTATTGTTTTTTCCCATCACTGACAGCCATTCGCAGGTGAGCTCAATATGTTTGAGTTCGCACAGGGCGGTTAAAGGTTTTTGTGTGTGCCTTTTAAGTATATCTAGATTTTTGCAGTCATTTATTCTTGGCCCGGCTTTCTGCGAGCGATTCGTGGCTGCTTCCCGAGAATTGACTTGCCATTGATTTATTGTATAGAGGCAAAGAGAGGAACCTGAAACCTCCTCCTATTCCACATATTAAAATGCAATTTTCAAACGATTCCCCAGCACAAGTATTTTCATTTTCCCCCCTGTTTTCAATCGTTATAGTTTTTATGCTTCGCCATTTTGCGCTTATTTGCGTTCCCTTCGCTCCTTCGAAGCTTTTGTATTTTTTGGGGCAATTTATTATGAGCCATTACCAGGAATTACGTAGCCTTGCCTTTGGGGAACTTTTCACGTTTCGCACGCAAATAACCAATTTCGTTTTAGCCGCGGAAAAAATTACTCTTAACCGTAGTTTCTTTGGCAATATGTGTGTTGTTTGCTGCGCTGCATACGTCAATTAGTCGACCGTTTTTTGGCCTTTTATTTATGAACGTTTTCCGTGTGACGACGCGACTCAACTTGGAGTGAAAACGAGCACATTTTCCGAGCCGCACTCGCATTTTCCACTCGGGTTTCGTTTTCGCTCTCGTAGGAGACTCCTGCACTTTCCACTCATTCTGTCTCCTGTGCAGTTTTGTCCTGCATTTGCGGAGCCACTCGAATCACATGCCCGCCGCTCGTTCATCCTGTCGCATGGCTGGAAAATCGTAACGCTTTTGGCACAGGAAAATCACAAAAAAAAACCTACAAATAGAAAATCGGAAAAACGGCAAAAAGCAAAAAGGAAATTCCGCGCGCGAAACGAAATCCGTTTTATGCTGGCTGGGAAAAACGCACGAAATGTGAGGCAATCTCTGCGCTGAACCATCGTTTTAATTAACATTTTCGTGCCCGAGCGCAGGAAATAAGTTTTAATTAAACTTTAAGTCGGGGAAACAGGAGAGCAGCTGAAACTGAAACCGAAACTGAAGTGTCAACAGAGTGCGAAGAAGGAGCATCGTCTTTTGGTAGGTGGAAAAATATTATTATCAATATTTAATGTTTGCCATCATCGCTGGCAATTTTATTTGCTGCCTGCTGATGATGATCGCATTTTGCTGATGATGAAGAACGGATCCCATTTCTGGTGACATATCCGGTTCCTTATGGGCTGGCATTATCAGTCAGTCAGTCAGTGGGTTGCCCTTCTTGTTGTTGGCTTTTAATTAGACAACTGTCGTCGTGTTGGGACGAGAATCGCACACATACGAGAGTCTTGTTAGTGGCCAGCTTTCACCAGTTTTCAGTTTTCAGTTGAGAGTCCCAAGTCCAAAGTCCAGCCTGTCAATAAGCAGCGCACTTACCATCCCAACGACATGTCCATTTCTACATTTCCACATTTCTCCCCTTTCACCATCTCTCTCTGGTTTTCACCCATTTCAGTAGTTTTCCCTTCGCATGCATTAATGGCAATTGGTTCTGGGCTTCCTCATGATGATTTGTTTGCCGACAGAGGACGCTTTTGTGGTCTGACATCCTAGTGTATTCCAAAGATATTGCATTCAAGGCTTTTGCGGTCGAATTACCAAATACTTTGGGGCACTACAAGTCGATTAGACTAATCACATGCGTGAGGAAATTTCGGATTAAAGAAGTTTTCCGTTTTGACAATTTTTATGTCATTAATACAACATTAATAAGTCAAACATTTTAATGAAAATTACAAAGATGTTAATTTAATTGTATTCTGTTTAAATATTAAATATTATCCACATTTATATTATTAATGATAAATATTTTTGATAAAGAAATCTGGTTCATTAGACTTGATTTTTTATATTTGACTGCATATTAACGTTAATCAATTGAAAATCATCAGTTATGAATATGATAAATATTTTATACTAATTAATCACCCCCAATGAATCTCTGTAAAATTCTTGCAATTAAAAATAACTAATTTGCGTAGTCCGCCATTAGGACAGCCAACTTGGCTTACAACCCATTTTGCTGATTAAACATTTTAATGAGTTTTCTTTGCTGATTATATGCAGCTTGTGTCTGCTTTGCTTGTGCAGTGCATTTAGTTTATTCAAATGGAATTTGTGTTAAGTGTAATTTAAGCGCAATCACGAAAAAACCAACAAACAGGGGGATGGGGATTCCCCCTGCTTATTTTATCCTGGTGGCTCCTCTAGCTCCTTCATCATCGTCACATCCTGGCAAACATTGCCAAAGGCATCAACAGGGCGACAAGTGCTAATCGCTCATTTGGCATTCAATATGCACGTTTTTTCTTTTCCCTCCCGAATCTCTGGTTTTTTCCCCCGCCTTCTTTGCTTTTTTCGGTAGTAAAGGAAAGAAGCGAGCGGGGAAAATGCATTTCAGTCAAGTTTGCTTTTAGTCTTCGCTGCGCTTTTAAGCTTATTTAAATTGCGGTGGCGACTTAAGCCACAGGGGCTGTGGGTGGGTTAAAGGCTGGTCTGGTCTGGTGGTTTGTGTGGGTTGGGTGGGTGGTTCAGTGGTGCTCGAGTGGTGTGGCTGGGAAATGAATAGTGGGCTATAAGTGCATTGTGCAAGTGGCTTCTGTGCTTAGTTAAATTGTACAAGTGTCTCTTTTTACATTCAAGTGACAGCAGCGGGAAATGAGTTAATGTGAGATCGGATAAGTTGGGGATTTGTCGCGGAATATAAAGCAGTAAAAGGGATTTTTTAATACAATATTGGTTACAAAAATTTAAAGGTGTCTAAAAGTATGCTACAAAAACCACTAGGGCCTTAAAATACTTTTATAGCTGCGTAAAAGTATGCTACAAAATATTTTTGAATCTGAAATACTCAATTCCTTTTTAACTGCAAACTTTTAACGTCTTTAAACGTGATTTCAAAAATCTCTAGAAATTTCTACCACTAGAAACTGTAAACATTTATTTCAAGCCCTCAAAGAAAGGGCAATCAACTCGAAACTTTCCTCCCAAGTTGTTATTGCATAATTTTCTGCACAATTTCTCCCCTTCAAAAGAAATACATGCATTTCTCCCCTATTATAAGAGAATCTCATATTCGAAAGAGCCCCTTTGTTAAAATGCGAAATTTCCCCCTGATTATCGCCCTGTACAATTAGCATAACTTCAGGGCTGAAAAATATGATTTTATCAGGCGCTCGAACTTTTCACATGGTCTGGAAATGAATTGCATAATTTCAGCCTGGAAAAAATAATGAAGAGGAAGAAGAAACAATTTGCCTGCGAGCGGCAAAAGTGCAAGTTGGTCAACTAATTGAAAAACTTCACGCCCCCTGGGAAAATGCTTTTCGAAATGCAAAATTGAAATTCATTTGCAGCCCTGCAGTTGGTAGAAAAGTGAAAAGGGCCCAGAGAAATCACACATACGCAGCGTTGTCGCAAGTGGCAATTGC